CTAAGCATCGACACTACAGAGCTCTATTGTCACGGTGAGGGAGCGCAGCCGCCTCGCGAAGAAAACCGCTGACAAAAATGGGGGCTCTGCCGGGAACGTTTATAACAAAGTATCCGGTACGCTAGCTATAGCGTGGGGCGTACCGAAGATATACCTTGGGAAAGTATATAAGGGTAGGCAAAAGAATCGTAGTCAACCGGCAGAGTATGAAAAATGACAGACTCCACCACAACGGAAGTGACCATTACTATCAATGAAAATGCAAATCCCGTTGACGCAAATGGAAAAGAATGGACAATGGAAGAATGGCAAGAGTACCAAGAGATGCACCGGATTTATCATGAAATACTAGACAACCACGCCTCGAAGCAAGAGTATCATAATAATTGGGCATGTTCTCAGTGTTATCCCGTAACGTCTAAACGGCTACTTCAGCAATCAGAAAATTTTAAATGGTTTAAAATATCCGCTAAAATACTCAAGTTAAATGTAACACAAAACGCTGCAATATATATGGATGAGATTGATTGGAATGGCGATCTTTCCGATAGACGCACAAAAGCATATCGATTATTAATTCTGTGCGGATTTCTCCAATATCCCGTTAATTGGGTAACTGCGGTAGATGTTACACTATACGCCTTGCAACACGAAAAACCTTACCCTAATTTCAAAAGCGAATATTTGCCTATAATTCCGAGAGACAAGAAAGATGAAATGTATACAGATGCGATCGAACGGGTGTATCGAAAAAACCCACAACATCTTAAAGGAAAATACCGGCCTAAAGGAAGAAACGTTACTCCACCACCATTAGTAATTACCAAACCAACATCTCCATTTTCCGGACAAAGACCAACGACAAGAGAAGAAGCTGAACAAGAATATCTCGAAGAATCTTCTAGAATTACGACAGTAACTTCCGAAAGCGTTAACCATCCTTTTAGTGAGGCAGTACGGTTAGCCGATGTTAGATTCCAACTGTTTCTAAAGTATCAACAAATGTCACCCGAGGAGTTACACGAGATGGAAATAACAATCGAAAGATTGCAACAAAATTGGAGAAACGTTGTACAAAATCGATATACGCATTACTGGTTATCGATGGGACGAAACATGATTATTACCCGAATACGGTATCTATGGTATGGAGTAATTAGTATCGAAACATGTCAAGCTGATATACGGCAGAAAATTATTACCGCACCAGCACCACGATTTATGGGGACAAGACAGGCCAAGAAAATTAACGCATTACTACGGCAATTGCAAAGCTACGGAACACTTGAAAATTACCTAGACTCGTATGATGAGATTATTAGGCAAGCACAAACAGCAATTGCAGCCAATAAACACACTGTGTATACTATGGGACGTAGCATGATCTTTCTTATGCAGCGACACCTCCTAACGAAGCAAATGTTATACGAGCATTGTAGCCTAAAAATTATAATGATAATAACCAATCACGGAGATGTAAGATTCACGACCAGTAGCACCAGAGACCGCACCCACGAAATAATGCAAGCGATCGATTATTTTAAATCAATACCAATTTCAGAAATGACTCAAGATCAAGCGATACGAGTACGTATAATATCGGATTGTTTAGATTGGCTAGAAATTCCGCTCCAAGGTGACAAGTGGCAACAATTATTGAGATGGGTTGATAAACTACTTCCGCAACCTGAGGAAAAATATATAAATACACCACCTTCCCCGCTTAGTGAGGATATTGAAGAAGCAAATAGTTTTGAAGAAATCGGAAAAGCAGATAGCCCTGAAAAAACCGAACTATTAATCGATCAAGAAATCGGATTTCCAAATAACCAAGATTCCGACGCATTAACATCTATTATCCAACCTATCGAAGTACCTAAAGAAATTATCCAAAACATGCCTCAAATGGACACCGCAGACCTAACAAAAATTCTTGGAGCTGTTAAGGATGCGTTTAAAGATATTCAAATGCCCAATCAAAGGATCGACGAATATCAAATACCATTTGTGCCTGGAAGAGACGATCCATTGGCTTACCTCGAATTATTGGAAGCACGATTCCGCCTCAATGGTGTGAAAACTTTCGATCAAAGGAAAGATATTCTTCTCGGAGTATATCAAGGACAAATGAAGGACTGGTTGGAGAAACAACTTGGAAATAATGCGCTCGGCGACAAGATTACTAGTTGGGCTGGGGAAACCGACGATGTATTGGAAGATTCTTCTTTCAAAAAACAGTTTTTGGAAAAATTTATGACGCCGCTCCTCCAACGAAAAATGCGCCAACAATTAAAAAATTTAACGCTTAATCCGAACGAGACGGTAGATGCATTTGTCAGCAGAATGCACCGATTGCACAAAAGTCTTGGAATAAACCCATCCGAAAACGAACTTGTCCAAGTATTGTTAGAAGGATTACCAGCGGAAATGCAAATGGCTATATTGCAAAATGGTCAGCC